GTTCTGGCGTTCGTGTAGGCACCTCACGGTGTTGAGGGACGGTGGTTTAGGTTTGTGTGGCGAACGACAATCACCCAACGACCGACGCTCAGAACTTGGATCCCAACATTAACAAAAAGCAATATTATAGTTATATAACTTTTCAGATGTTTTTAATTCACTATTTTTTTCAATATTCTTCTAAAATTCAACCACTATATTTCCCTAAAAATCAAATAATACCGGTTTTATGTATTTCGGTATTAAACCTGTAGTCAATTCATGTTCCAGGGCCACTTGGTTTAGCCGTGCATTATCAGCCAATATACCATGGATTGCATATGCAAATTTTGTGTTAGGACCAATCAAATCAATGGATTAACACCATCAATACACTGGTATAATATAATAGTGAATATGTCATCGATATAAATTTAACGTAATGTTCGATTAGTAAATTACCGATGTTAACTTTTTTATTGTGATCTTGGAATTGCATTAAACAAACATAAACAAAAAAACAAAACAAAAATAATGTGCATAAAATGAAATAACTAGACCATTACTGTTGATTACTATTAAAACGAGGTGGATCGTCACCTGCGCACGCGCGGGAATTGATTCCCAAACGACGATAACGACACACGCTAAAAACGCAAAGGCTCATGGGTAGACGCTTGTTTGTAAACATTGATACGCTATAGCCATCTGACGCATGCGCAGGTGACGACTCCCCCGCTTTAACACGGCTATTTGTTATAGACCAATCATTATTGCTGCTGTGTGTGCTAAAATATACTCGCATGTGAAAAACACAGAGTAGTAATCTTCTCTAATGTGTGAATTCAACCATGGACTCTGATAAAGAGATACAATCTAGTTAATTAATATTTCATCACACCATGGAGCCGAATTGTAAATTATAAATGGTCTCATCACTAGCTCAGTTGCATCATTCATTTCAAGGTATTTATAGAGTGCACGTGGAGACACGAATACAATCACGTTGTCGTACTGTGACCAACTACGATGTATCATCTTTGTATCTTTGCACTCAGAATATAACCTAGATAACAATATATAAGAAAAGATGAATCTTGTCAAAATATATTAGAAATCTTAAAGGATATATGCTTATACTAAATTGTATACGTCATATTGTTCAATTTGTCTTTACATCCATTACAGATTGAAGTCTGGTGAATGGAACTATGCAGTGAACTGCAGAACATGGATTGGCTCAAGAACACAATATTGCCTACGCCAATAATGAGAGCACGTACATTCAAGTGACATAGATACTCAACTCTCCCGCTTCTTCAAAATTATGCTCTTGCTGATAAGATGATGTTGATAATAAAATTAATTAGAACTTCCAATGATGTCACGATACCATTTCTGGATTGTTCAATTTGAATTCTGACATCCATTTTGTTTTATAAAACTATATTTATAATATGTGTATAAAGTACAAATTTGTATAAATTATATAGTCAATTTATATCGAACATTTGTCAATATGACGTCACAATTGCATCATAGCTCAAACATACTAGTATACAGAATGATAATTATTACATGGCGGCGATAATCTGACGTCACTTCATTTAAATCGTAATACATTCCCTGGTATGTAACTACGAGTCGTCAAGTATTTGTATTTGAATATTTTATTTCACCATAAAGTAAATACAATTGGGTACTTGCTAAATACATAATGCTTTGACATTATGGTGTGGAACATGATAAATAGCTCAAAAA